TCTATGATGATATATATGGTTTAGTAGTATGGAACTTAGATGTAAAACATAATTTAAATGGGTTTTAAGGAAGTTTAAAGGCAGAATCAGATCTATGGGTGTGATAAAATTACAAGCAACATGTACAATTCATGTACCAATCTATTCCTTACAATCTCAAATTCAATATCTCCAAAAGGATTCAAGATGTGTTAAAAATTGATGAAGTAATAATGGATTCAAAAAGCAAAAATGGGTGAAAAATGTTTAAATTCTCCCAAAGTAATAAGAATGGTAGAAATAATACATTATTGTAGAAATCTTTAGTTTTCCTGAAATATAGTGTGCACTTTGGGGATTATTAGCAAATAGACATGAAAAGGAATGACATAAGCCAGAAATATTCAAAAAGGTCCATGTGCAATATGGCAAGTGATTTTAGACGGTCATATATTTCACCATGAGTACTTTCTACACTACAAAACCATACATATCTTCAAAGAGGGACAAATGTAAACAATATATGGCTCACCAAAGGTCTTACCTGAAATTCGTAAATTCAGACCGGATATTATACAATTTTTCAAATTTTGAACATGTGAAAATCCTTAAACCTTCTAAAAATCCATCTTAATTGTTTTTTTTCATCTTAGTTTCACACTACAAAACCATACATATCTTCAAAGAGGGACAAATGTAAACAATATATGGCTCACCAAAGGTCTTACCTGAAATTCGTAAATTCAGACCGGATATTATACAATTTTTCAAATTTTGAACTTGTTAAAATCCTTAAAGTCCTTAAACATTCTTAAAATTCATCTAAATTATATTTTACATTTTAGTTCGTTACTTTAAAAGCATAAATATCATTAAAGAGGGACAGATATAAAAACATAAGGGTCATCCAAGGTCATACCTTAAATTCGTAAATTCAGACCTGATATTGTACAATTCTTCAAATTTTGGACTCATTAAATTCCTTAAACCTCCTTCCACACCATCTAGGTTATTTCTTACATATTAGTTTCACACTACAAAACCATAAATATCATCAAGGAGGGACAGATGTGAAAAATATATGGCTCACCAAAGGTCTCACTTGAAATTCATGAATTCAGACCTGATATTACACAATTCTTCAAATTCTGAACTTGTTAAAATCCTTAAACATTCTTAAAAACCATCTAAATTATTTTGTACATCTTAGTTCCACACTACAAAACCATAAATATCATCAAAGAGGGACAGATGTGAAAAATATATGGCTCACCAAAGGTCTCACTTGAAATTCGTAAATTCAGACCTGATATTGTACAATTCTTCAAATTTTGAACTTGTTAAAATCCTTAAACATTCTTAAAAACCATTTAAATTATTTTGTACATCTTAGTTCCACACTACAAAACCATAAATATCATCAAAGAGGGACATATGTGAAAAATATATGGCTCACCAAAGGTCTCACTTGAAATTCGTAAATTAAGACCTGATATTGTACAATTCTTCAAATTCTGAACTTGTTAAAATCCTTAAACATTCTTAAAAACCATCTAAATTATTTTGTACATCTTAGTTCCACACTACAAAACCATAAATATCATCAAAGAGGGACAGATGTGAAAAATATATGGCTCACCAAAGGTCTCACTTGAAATTCGTAAATTCAGACCTGATATTGTACAATTCTTCAAATTTTGAACTTGTTAAAATCCTTAAACCTTCTTAAAAACCATCTAAATTATTTTGTACATCTTAGTTCCACACTACAAAGCCATAAATATCATCAAAGGGGGACAGATGTAAAAAATCAAGGGCTCATCCAAGGCCTTACCTAAAATTTGTAAATTCAGACCTGATATTGTACAATTCTTCGAATTTTGAACTTGTTTATACATTAAACTTCCTTAAAACCCATTTTAATTATTTTTTACATCTTAGTTCCATACTTCTAAACCATATTTATCATCAAAGAGGGATAGATCTGGAAACCATAGGCATCAGCTATAGTCATACACAAAATCACCCCTCTCAAAAATGTCAAATTTTTCAAAAAATCAACATTTTTTTCTCAGCTCCTACTAATTCAATTAGTTTCAACCTTTCAGGGCTTATAGCCCTGCTACTGGGCACTTCACATGAAATTTTTCAATGTCTTCCAGTGTCTGATTGAAAAGTGAGGCTCTAAATAGTAAAAAAATGGGTCATGAATTTGCCCCCTGGGGTACATACTTTGTAGTATTTTCCAAATTCTGTAGGAGTGATTGGCATTATTTATTTTGCAAAAGATTCATATATATAATGTCTATGTATGTAACTTACAAACATCAAGATATCTAAAATTATTGAGAATGAAAAAATTATTTTCCGGGGGTGGGATGTTTTTGGGGGGTGGGGGGCTAACCCCTGAAAAAAAAGAATTATGTACCACTCTGTGAAGCTATCACCTAGGTAGAATTTTCATCCAAGACTTCCCTCTAACTGAAAATGCTGCCAAACCAACTATACTCCATTTATTAAGAATTTTCCTCCTCGCTCTTAGAGTATAGTGAATTTATAGTTTTCATAAGTATGTAAGAATAAGAATGCCATCTATTTTTCTCTCTAAGATCAGTACTTTATCTCATCCTACTTGAACTTAATGAAAATAAAAGATCATTTTTAACTTTAATTTGTAGCTTTGTGTAAAATGAATCTGTTATGTTTGAACCTATCAAAGATATACACTTAAATAATATGTTACGTAGGAGAAACAATGTTAGATTTAAGATAGGAGTGAAGCATTGAGGTTTTTTGAAACTTCACAAAAGATAAATATAGTACAGTATATAGCATAATTAAATTATGAGCAAGATATGAGGGAAACGAGTGGCAAAATAATAAGGCCCATCTGAACGAAACGAAACTTGATCAAAAACTTTATTTCACATAAAATCAATATAAAACCTTTGTGATGAAATCATGTTTCTCTGAAAAGGGGTTCTCTCATGTGAAGTAGATAGAAATTTCCAAAGTAAAGTGCACTTCTGAACATTTTTGGGTTATTTTATTTGAGAACATGAGGAACCATTGATTGTTTTTTGTGTTATATTATTGTGTATAACATACCTAATGAAGCATTTTTATGCAAGCCAATAGGAAAGTTAGTGGGCTATATTGACCCATATTGCCCGATTACCACAATGCCCCATTATAAATTGTTTTGATATTAGATTACTTATTTAAAATAACCATGACAATATCATGACATCATGTTTCATTTCAGTCAGATTCTACTCGCACATGTAGATGTGTGACGTCATTGATACAAAGTAGCCATTAGGATAATTGTATGTAATACATGTACATCAGCTATGTCACTATGACGTGAAATTTGCCTTCGTTCTTGCCCAAATATAGAGCCTCTCTAGTCTCAAGGTCTGCTTACTGTAGAAGAAGAAATTATAGCGGGAACAAATTATAACGAAATGCTGCCAAAATCAAAAATTGCGAGAAGAAATTATAACGGTCCAAGAGCCCAATAATTTCATGTCAAACTAGGCCTAGAAAGCCCATTGTTCTAGCCGAGGTTTTAATGCTTGATTCCCGAAATTATTAAGGGTTACCTCTGTGAGCGATAATAGAGTTACTAATTCACGCGAACTTACTGTGTTTAAATGAAAGCTCCTCACGGTTCATATACTTTCGAATACTCATTCTAATACTAGTTATGCTTCCTTGATTGTTTGATTACTCATACAGTCATCATATTTGGTTTCCCTGGTACGTAATCAGTATTAATTCAAAAGATTAACTGACCTATTTTGCCATGACGTTTTTAATTTACGAACGAATAAAATTAGTAACAACTTGTTCGCCTTTTGTTTTTCAATAAATGTATACATACATGCTCTCAGTAATTACCTGTTAATTATTGGCTTACTTATTGTACTTTCCAGGTAAGTTTTAATTCTAATTAACGGATTATAACAATCAAGTAAACCGGTGACACAAGACTTTCTTTATAATCGCCTAATATAATGTTTAATGCCAGCGGGAAAACAAACAGCTTATCCCTGTATCTAAATATTTTCTTCAGGAATGGTACGTTGATAAGATGCTAAACTGTTGTTTATATTGTTTCTGATTTGTATAGTTTGAAACAATGTCTGTAGTTTTACGTTATGTGTTTTTGTGTTCGTTCTTTTTCTAGTAGCAAAGGTAATTAAAATACCGATCGTAAATCTAATGTAGCAATAAAACTTCGACGAGGCGGTCTAACATTCTGGCGTTTCATGATTTCAGTAAGTTTTATATTTTTGCGGAATTAATCATAACGGTCGAAGCCTGACGCTATTTTTCGCTATAATATTTTCCTCGTTATATTTTCTTCTTCTACAGTATATTGGGAGAACTCAGGTATATTTCACGTAAAAGTGACATGACCTCTAAAATGTTCAGTAGATATCTGAATGTCTGTTATAGTGGGGTGTTATTTATGCAAACATGAATAACCTAAGCATGTCTCATATGCTATAGCGTTTATTTTCTACTTTCCCTGTCTTTGACAATAATGTTGAATGGACCAGGTTGAATTGTTATTGCGTATGTGTATTTTGTTGGGTCAGGATCTGGCGGGTTGTTTTTATCTTCAGGTAAAATCTCCAGTTTTTGTAGCAAACTGGTGACAAACAGAAACATTCTCACTTTCGCCATTGCTTCTCCCAAGCATTCTCGTTTACCAACTCCAAATGGTAGAAATCTATTGAGAAAGTAGTAAGGGCAACATAATAAATACAATACAAGCCATGCCTCATATTTTTTTTGTTGTAAAGCAAATAAAATGTAGAAACTCATATAGAATCATCTGAAAAATGGTAGAATTTATACTGCACTAATTCTGTAATAAATACATGTAACAATTCAATCCAATTTGTAAACAAATTTTATTGTTGTAAACCCCCAAAAACTGTAGAAACCCAAGAAAATGGTGGAAGTTGTACTGCGCAAACACTACTGTAATATATACATGTATGACTTACGATTTTCTTTCATTTCCTGGAAGCAAGTTTCCATCATCATCCAAGAATCTTTCCACTTTGAACTCATACGGCTCATCAAAGTACTTCTCATCATGATGTAATGCCCAGATGTTCATCCAAACCTTGTCAAAAAGTAGAATACATGTAACATGGGTTGTTTGGCACATGGTTTATATTTGCGAATTCAAGATGAATCTCTCAGGGTATTTGATCTGTTGATACCATGTACTTAAGTGGAGTTCATCTTCAGGTAAAAATTCATGTCTGTTGCAGGGCTTGCATTAACGGCGTCCCGTACATGTTAAGGACTCAAAAATAATTTGGAGGACGCAAAAATTGAAAATATTTCCGCTCATATACAGTTTGCATTTAAGTGGCAGGAAAATACTGATTTTATGATTTTACATCGGGACACCCTATATATATCCTTCTATTTTCAATATATTGAGTCGAGTACCTCCAAATATGAAGGAGAATGCGAGTGAAGCGAGCGGCGAATGGTCAAAAAAAATTCAGCCTGTTGAAATTGCCAAAAGGCCTGTTGAAAAAATATTTATTGAAACCCCTGGGTCAATACTATAATGTGTTTACAACGATACCTAACAAAAACAAATAATTATGATCTCTCACCTTTATTTGAATCGTAAATACATGTAAGGCTCAACATGTTGAATATTTACAAATAATCATGATTCTCTCAAATTTTTCGACTTTGTTTATTTTTAGATTTGAAACCATGACACGCAACAGTTTTTCCTATTCAGAAACAAATATTAGGTTATTCATGAAATAAAATGTATTCATTGTCGAATGAACGAACATGCATTTATTCAGTCCGTACTTAACGTTTACTTCCGTTTTAAATTCACGGCAAGAAATCAAAAACTGAAAAATAAGGGACACACTTTTTTTTCAAAGGACACACTTTTTAAAAAATTGCGTCCTTGGGACTCACAAATTTTCTAACCTAATGCAAGCGCTGCTGTTGTATATTGGTTGAGAAAAACACAACAAATCTAATTACTCATCTCCTCAAAGGTTGGGATTGAGAAGAAGAGAGAAAATATTACAGACAATTTGGTGGCTAGTATTTAACTTTTATCAAGTAACAAAATATCATATGTTACGGTTCAGTTATACGAAGCAGCATCTTCATCCAAACCATGTCAAATAATTAATAATGTTGACAACTTTTTGTGTACATCGATATATTTGACACTCTCCCTTAACTTCTTGAAAGATATTTGTTATAAAGTAATGCAAATAGAAATGACAAAATTTACTTACAAACCAGGTCACCAAATTGTTTGTGATAAAAATTTTCAAGTGTTGTTTGTGAACAATTTGAATGTCATAACACTCAAGGGATAACCTTTGAAAAACTAAAGGACATTTTGAAAATGGAAAGATGGAAAATTGAACACTGATTGAAAAATGAAGAGCATAATTGGAGATCAACACATGAAATACAACTACTGTAAAACGGGTAATTTTGACACCGGGAAATTTTAGCGATTTTTCAATTTTAGGGGGTTTTAGCGCTGGAAATTTTAGCGAAATGAGGATTAATCTTTAAAAAATCAAATTAGCGAAATGCATTAGAAATTTTATCATTTATGGCAGAAGAATGAATAACGGACATGACAGAGGAATTATCAAAATGTAAGACTTCTAACGTACATGGTATTGGTCCAAACTACTGTAATCTCCTCTGACTAATCAAAAAATCACGAAAGATTGAAAGAAACATACGATATTTACCTTTTTCAAATTACAAACCAGAAGTCGAGCACTGAACGAAAAGCTCCTTAAATACTAGTATTCATGTAGTTTCTCGGGAATTTGCAAATTTTAGCGCCCGGTTTATTTTAACCCCGGTTTATTTTAGCGAATTGAATTTTTAGCGAAACTATAGCGATCGCTAACAATCGCTAACAATTACCCCTCGCTAACAATACCCGTTTTACAGTAATCCTTTTATCAATTCTGGTATTAACCATCTCATGTCTCAAATCAAAATATGTCAAAGTGATCGAGCCCATGATGACTTGTGTGATTTCATTCATGTGTTGTATATATTTGTTTCACTTAGCAGAAGAAAAACATTATTAAATAAAAATGAAGACCTTCATTTTATTTTATTTAATGTCATTTTTGTTATTCTTACCTGTGTGCCATATGGAACTTTGTAGCCCCCCACGCTAGTATCACAAAGGGTTTTATGTGCGATTGACAATGTAGTAGTCGTAGAGTAGCGCAGAATTTCTAAAATGGCAGCTTCTGTGTAAGGCATGTTATGCCTATCCGCAAAAGTTGGTAGGCGACCATCACCAATGACATCATCAATTTCAGCTTGTATATTTTTCTGGACATCAGAATGGTTGACGAGAATCATCAGAAAAGACTTTAAAGTTGATGATGTTGTTATGATACCTAATGTTGGAAAATGCAAATGCAATTCAATTTTCTATTTAATATGTGCCTCAGGTGTCCAGAAACTGTACCTCCTTCTTCCCCCTGCTATAAACACTTCAAATTGCAGTAACATAAAAGCATACCTGAGCAGGAGGTCTATAAGAGATAATTTGATTAGCTGTCTCAGTGATGCAACAGCAAATCAAATTGCAAGTTCTTAAACGGGGAATGCTAACTGCTTATCCCAGGGGGAGGAGAAAGAAGATATTCTGGATCTTGAAGCCCTGAGATCAGAGAATGTAAAGGCCTGAGCCACTGTTTTCTTGAAAATTGAATGTTAGTTAGCCTATTATACTCTAGAATAGCCTATAATACTCTAGAATAAACCAAGAATGTTTAAAGGAAAATATAAAATCAGATGATCAAAAGTTTCATTCTATTGACCACAAAGCCAGAAGAACAAGTTGAATTCACTGAGAATCCAATAATTGAAATATATAAGAAAGAGTTACCAGCAACAAGAAGATTGAACAGAGCTCCGTGTATTTCATCCTGGCTGATTTCTCCTTGTTTGTAATGCTGATGAAAAACTTCACATACACTTCTAGTCTCATCACTGTGCAAACTAAGCTGTAAAATAAAATGAACATGCCTTATATGTAATGCTTGTGCAAAACTTAAAGTTGTACCTAAACCATTTTACTTGATTTAGAATATTTATCTTACCGTATGGAAGGCCACACTTTACGAAGGTGAGCAATCAACACTTCCTCATGATACCAGGGACTGATTTCATTTTCAGAGCAGAAATTTTATGTCACCTGACAGGATGTTTGTGGTTGAAACAATTTTTGTGAAATACGACTTTGTAAATCAAAATGAAATCCTGGCTTTCAAAAACAAGTTATTCACTCTTATGTTGCGCCAATTATTGCATGATTGAGGCTACTCTTATCAATTTTTTGCAAAGGGTATAATATCACTTGCAATTAAGTGTGGAATCAATCGGGCTGAAATGCTATTGAAATCAGTTCTACCACAAAAACAGACACGTGCTACCTTTATATCCCTGATATCATGATAAAATGAATTTTTGGAATTGTTGATCACCATCGTAAAGTGTGGCTTTCATTTGGTAAGATAGCATTAATATCTCTAAATCAAGTAAAGTGGTTTGAGTACAACTTTAAGATTTTTATTTTTCTATATATGGTCTTTTTTGTGAATTTCAGTCAAGTAAAAATATTTATTTAATTATTAAAACTTTTTGATTTAGCGCCAGAATAACTTGGGATATGATATAATATATATATAATATGATTCAGTCAAAACTGTCATGACCTCAAAAAGTGCGCAAAAATAACATTTCAGAGGTTGACAGTTTCATCTGAATGAATTGTGTTTGTTGGGAAACATCACAAGGTTTGTAGTCAAAATAAAAAGAGATGTCATTTATTCTAAATACAAGCTAATACGAGATTCTGAAATATTGGTTTTAGTATAACCTTAAAAATCTTCACATACACTTCTAGTCTGATCACTGCAAGCTTAGCAGTTATTGGTTCAATACTTCACATATACTGTACCTGTAGTCAGCTTGTAAGTAGAGGCAAAATAGAATTAAATTGATGTATCCATTATCACATACTAATAATGGATTCATCAATTTATACCTTTTTCTCGGCTGTATTCATCCAGTCTGAAAATAGTTTCTCTCGTATCGCCTTGTGCTCTTTTAGAATTTCAAAGGATTCATTTCCAAAGTATCTTAGCCATGGAAACATGTCTAATTCAGCCCCTGGTCCTGCATAGCCACACCTCTCCATGCTTTTTACGAGGTCACACACCAGTTGGAACTCATGAGAACTTTTATCAATTTGTTCTCCCACAAGCTAAAATTAAATGGTCATTTAGTTGATATGTATGTATTATGTGCACACTGGTATTTTGTGCTCACTCTTGGCTTCATATATTGATTTTGAAACAAACAACTGTAAATAATTAGAATATTCAAGAATTTCGTGATATAGGTTAATGTGATATTTCAAACTTTTACACATCGATTGTCCTTTTCATTTTTGGTAGATTTACCATGTTATATGTGAAATTTGTCTTTAAATGCATCTGTTTTCTAAAGTGTGAAATGCAAGTTAGGAGGCAATAAAGATGATGTTCTACTCACCAGACCTGTCATAATATTTGTAATGCATTGATCTACAGATTCCCTTGGGTCAAATGGAGTGTTACCATGACTTTGAAATCTTGAAATACAGTCCTGGATTTCATCAGATGCTAAAATTGCTATTCTGTCCATGCCATCTCCAAACTGCTTGAGTCCCCGATGTGCTATTTTCTTTACTCTCTTCAAATCTTGTGATAAATCTCTAAATGTAATATCTTTGTCACCGCCAGGGGTTACGTAGTTTATCCTCCATGAGAAAGGACGTCCAGCAAAATCATCAGCTTTTTCCAACAGCGCTTCTCTCATGACATCATTTTCACTCAACACGACAATCTCTTCATTAAACATTTGGATTTTGAAAACATTTCCATGTCGTTTGCTCCATTCATGTAACTGAACGTACGGAGTTTGCGAAATCATTTGAAAAGCATTACCAATGACTGGCAACCCTCTTGGTCCTGGAATGTCCAATCTTTTCCAAACCCTTTTCTGTATTATCCACAATAAAATGAGGGAAAGAATGAATAGCACTGCTGGCAACATTTTGAATAATTTTAACTCACACTTTGCAATCTTGAGATACTACTCTTTATATATTAATGGGGCGGTATACAATCATACGAGGGTCATTCAAAATTATTGAAATTTTTGCTTATCAGAGAGTTTATGTTTTGTTAAAATTGTTTCAGTGTTTCTGGCACCATTGAAAGTACAAGTGACATATTTGAACTAGACAGCTTCAGGAATTTCTGTAAATGGCAACTATTTTGGCAACAAATTCCAAATTGTTACTTACAATAGCTTATATTATGCTTCACCTACACAAATGAATGCAACATGTTAAATTTAGATAGGTCATTATACAATAATTGACTTAGTACAACAACACTAATATGGTGTAATGGTGGTTTACAGATTATATGAGTGGACCTAACGATGATCCAGGTGAAATATGATATCAAAAGAATAAAATTTGATGATTCGAAATTTCAACACTTTTTAACAACCCTCATATGTGTTTTTTATATGTGTTATTTTTTATCTTTTTGTCATGTTCCAACATATTTAGATGAGTTTGACACAGTCGAGTGTTAGAGCTCCCAACACTTGAGACATTGAAATCAAGATAATTTGCGTCACTCCATTCAGGTCTTATACAACCTACATTGCTTTTATGTCAAGTGGTGACATATTTTTATAGTCTGTAACATTTCTATGGATGGCATTTGCGTTGACATTTGACACATGTTTTCTGCAATGGTTGATGAGCATTTTGTATTAATCTTGTCTAGATAGTATTCCAGGAGTCCTCATGATAGCTCGTATTCCAGGTTTGAAGAATCTTTGTATTTCTGATTGCCTATACGAGGGGTGATCAATAAGTAATGGACGCTTTTTTACACATACTTTTTATAAACCAATCCTTTTTAATTTTCCTACCAGTGATACGTCATTCAATTACCTATCAATTCTGAAGATTTGAAGACAAAATATATAATACATGTTGATATATCCTTATTTCCATGAAGGAGGTACAGGTACCCCGGGACCGACATTTACGTCACATGTTCAGTTTTTAGCCAGTTTGGCAAATTTCAGTTAGATTTGACCTTTTTATATGCAATAAGTGTTGTGTTGTTGTAATTTTTTTGCTGACTGGTAACACATAAACAGAAAGTATTGTGATGTCAGAGTTTTGTATGGAAGGGGTTTGCAGATCAGTTTGAGAAAGCATTGTGGAAGAAAGGGGTGGTGAGAGAAGGGAACACCCTACTCCACATGGACAATGCACCTGTCCACAGATCTCAAAATGTTCAGAAAACAATATCCCTGGACCTCAAAATTGAGCCCTTGGCCAATGCACCATATTGTCCAGATCTGCTCACTTGTGACTTATTTTTTCTATACTTCTTATTTCTATAGAGAAAGGATGCAGGTTTATTGACATTGATGAAATAAAACAACCCGTGCAACTGCATCTTGCTACCATGTCAGAGAATGGATTCAGCTTTGCCTCACAATCTTGAGTTATGAGGATGAGGAATTGTGTACATGTAGCACTTGATGGAACCTATGTGGAGGGCCCTGTGGAACGAATGTGGCATGAATACCACATAGTGATGATAAAATATTCAAAATCAACTATAGCTTAACAAAATGGGGAAATTCATGACCATAATGGTTTGTTTTGTTCAGCCTGTATTCAACTGCATTGCATGTTATACAAGCTAAAATAGCTTCAGAATGTTTTACGTCATGTCGGTCCCGGGGTACCTGCACATCCTTCACAGAATTAAAGATATATCAAAATATATTACATGTTTTGTTTTCAAATCTTCAGAGTTGATAGATAATTGAATGATGTGTCACTGATAAGAAAATCGAAGGGATTGGTCCATAAAAAGCATCTGTGTAAAAAAGCGTCCATTACTTATTGATCACCCCTCGTACACCTGAAATCTCACAAGCAAAGTTTCAATTGGAAACTTTTGAAATTTTTCGAAGAACTTTATTTTAGAAAAATGTGGTTAACTGGGGATTTTAGCTTAAAAATTTAGAATTTGTACGAGTTATACAAATGGCATATTGAAATTATGTCTCGTATTTGTCAAATTATATGAGTGGGGATCTGAACTGGTGTACATATCTCACCAATCTTGACTTGGTACAATGACAATCAAATTGTTTAGGAATAGGGTCCTAAAGCTCAAATTTTGAATCATTTAATTTTATCAATTTTTTTTCCTAAATAGTGAATTTATAGTTTTCATAAGTATTCATAAGAATAAGAATGCCATCTATTTTTTCTCTCTAAGATTAAATCACAATTATAAAACAAAAAATAACTATGAGAATCAGAACTTTATCTCATCCTACTTGAACTTAATGATAATAAAAGATAATTTTTAACTTTAATTCGTTAAAATGTATCTGTTATGTTTAAATCTATCTACGATATACACTCAAATAACATGTCATGTAGGAGAAACAATGTTAGATTTAAGATAGGAGTCAAGCACTGTGATTTTATTGAGATAAATATAAAACATTATATAGCATAATTAAATTGTGAGCAAGATATGAGGGAAACGAGTGGCAAAATAATAATGCCCATCTGAACGAAATGAAACTTGATCAAAAACTTTATTTGACATAAAATAAATTTAACACCTTTGTGATAAAATCATGTTTCTCTGTAAAGGGGTCCTCTCATATCAAATAGATAGAAATGTCTTAAGTAAAATGCACTTCTAAACATTTTTGGGTTATTTTATTTGAGAACATGAGGAAACATGATTACTTTCATGGCATCTACACACAAAAATAATTTATATAACCAATATTTAAACAATAACATTAATCTTCAAGCCATATTTTGCTCAGTAAGAATTCACACTGGTATAATGTAATAATACATATTGTTGAACCATTGATTGTTTTTTTGTGTTATATTATTGTGTATAACATACCTAACGAAGCATTTTTATGCAAGTCAATAGGAAAGTTAGTGGGCTATATCCACCCATATTTCCCGATTACCCCGATATAGCCCCCTAATACCTTGTTTTGATTTTTGATTACTTAAACAACCATGACACACTTGGTAAAAAAGTAAAAATAATATAGAATAAAATGTTTAATATACTGCTAAATAAGTTGCATTAAGAGAGAATCGTAGAGAATATTTTTTCCTGTATAATAGGCAGTTATTTCTTTTATAATACCGGAAAAAAATATAATACGTATTTTTAAGAATTATTTTTGATTTAATAATATTATTCGTGTATTATTTAAAGGGAACAACATATAATGCCAAATAATATAGAATAATATTCCTGTCAGGAGCAAATAATATGTTGGCATTTGCAATCAAAAACCTATTATACGCGGTTATTTTCGAGCCGTTAATCCCTAATTATTCAATTCCTATGAAATGAGTTTCATTCATACTGATAATTAATCTGTTTGTTAGGGTTAATGGATTAATCTCTACAGCTGATGGATCTTAATTCCACAAAAATAATTTGCAAAACAAGTTTTTACATACACATTTGATTGTATAATGTCCCTCATGTTATGATTAACATTGTGTTAAATTTTTGATTCAATCAATTAATTCATTGTAAAGTTAATTTTTGAATTTTTAATTAATTTCTTTTCCTCACATTTTTAATCCATTGTTTCTCTGTCACATTAAGTTCATAGCAAACAACATTTAGATCGATCCCCTCTTACACAGGTACAAACAACCACCTGTATTCACTTTGCCAAATGGAAAAACAGTCATGACAGGGAACTGCTCAATATTCAATAAACACATTACGCATTTTATACAGACCCGTAGCTGAGGACCCCCTCCCCGTGGCCAATAATTCTGTCAAAATCATGTCGTTTTTCACCATTCACATACATGTATTGACATTCCAGAGCAATATAATAAGTCAAACTTTAATCCCTAATTATTCAATTTCCATGATTTGAGTTTTGTTCACACTGATAAATAATCTGTTTGTTTGAGTTAATGGATTAGTTTCCACAGCCAATGGTTCTAATTTCAACTGAAAAATAAATTGCAAATTAAGTTTTTCATATTTATTTGATTGTATAATGTCCCTTATGTTATGATTAACATTGTGTTAAAATTTGGATTTAATTGATTGACTCAACGGAAAGTTAATTTTTAATCAATGGGTTTCCTCACATTTTTACTCTATTGGGTTTCCTCACAATTTAACTCAATTGTTTTTCTGTCAAATTAAGTTTACAACAAACAACACTTAAAGCCCCCTCTTACACAGACACAAACACCTTTAATCATTTCACAAACAACACAAAACATTTATGACACGAAACTGCTATATATCAATACATTACGAATTTGGTATAGGTCAATGGCCAGGGAGGGGGGGGGGGTTCAAGTAAATCCCCCCCCCCCCCTTGCCAAAATTCTTTCAAAATCCTACATTTTTTACCAATCTGAGCACTGTTAAGTGATTTCGGGCCAAAATGATCAAGTGTGACCCCTTGGTTTGTTTTGTAAAACTTATTCCGAGCCTGTATTATATTGGATGTACATGTATTGCTCCGATTTCTTCTGGCAAATCGCTGATAATAAATAAGAAAGGTACATTAGGTTAACTGATACAAGTGGTGTTAAGCCATGCTAAAACAAAATTAAAACGTGTATTCTCTCACATTTCACAATTCATGCGTTTTCTGTTATCCATACATCTGAGATATAAACTGGGGATATAAACAACAGATTAGTCCATGATGTAATACATTTGTTTCTACTACAATTGGACCATTTTAATTAAAGCTGGTTTTAATTAATTTTTTGTTTTCCATTTCCAAATGTATATTCGGTATGTTTAGTTGTTTGATATTGAAAATAAAGAAGCAGGCACATTTTACATTTATTCCTAATGTTTCATCTGACATAGCGATGATTACGCTTTGAGCAAATTGGTGCATGGTAGAACAAACTGATGTAAATAACATGTTGACATACAGTACATGTATGTCAGAGCAATATGATAAGTAAAACTTTAATCCCCAATTATTCAATTTCTTTAATATGAGTTTTGTTAACACTGAAAGCTAATCCGTTTGTTAGAGGCAATGGATTAATTTCCTACATCCAACAGTTCTAAGTTCCACAAAAAATAATTTAAAAACCAAGTTTTTCATATTTATTTGATTCTATAATGTCCCTTATGTTATGATTAACATTGTGTTAAAATTTGGATTGAACTGATTGACTCAACGGAAAGTTAATTTTTAATCAATGGGTTTCCTCACATTTTTACTCCATTGTTTCTCTGCCATTTAAAGTTAACAACAAACAACATTTAAGCGCCACTCTTACACAGGCACAAACAACCACACGTATTCACACTGCCAACCACAAAAATAGTCTTGACACAGAACTGCTCAAATTTTAGCTAAAAACATTACGCATTTTATACAGGCCCGTACATAACGAGTAACGATCCCCTCCCCTTGGCCAAAAATTCTTTCAAAATCATGAAGATTTTCACCATTCACATACATGTACATGTATTGATGATAGAGCAATATAAGTAATACTTTAATCTCTAAGTTTTTTCAATTTCTATGAAAGGAGTTTTGTTCACTGATAACTAATCCGATTGTTAGAGTTAATCCGTTTGTTAGAGTGAATGGATTAATATCTAGAGCCGATTGTTTTATTTTCCACAAAAATAATAATTTGCAAATAAAGTTTTTCATATTTGGTTAATTGTATAAAATCCCTCTTTCTATGATTAACATTGTGTTAAAATTTGGATTGAATCGGTTAACTCATTGGAAAGTTAATTATTTGATTTTTAATTGATGACTTTTTCACATTTTTACTCCATTGTTAACATTAATTTAAAACAAGTTAAATTTCTTTCTTCTAAACATTTATTTGTAAATATTTTCCAAATAGAAATAGAACAGTCAAAATAAAATATGTGTGACATGTGTAAGTAATAGAGATGAGAAGGCCAGTAGAACGGTTAATCCTATTAACTGCCATGCTGTGCATTCCTTGTTTTGTTTGGTTAAGTAATTAACCAGATGGATTGTACATCAAGTTGGACGAGAATAATCGAGTATAATATTTTTTAGAACCCAAATAATACAATATAATTTGATATATTCTGCTAAGATTGGAAAATACTAGAAAATAATATTTTTTAGAATAGAAAAAAATCTAAATAGACTGCAATCATCAGTTTGGATTGATAAATATGACCAAATAATATTTTAGAAAGACAGAATAAATATAAATTGGCGCAAATAATTCTAAAAAGGAATATTATACCGGGAATAAAACATTCTGCTACATTTTCTTATTGAGATAATTGGATTTGGTAAATGTTTATATGTATAAATAATATATTTGGATCTCACTTATTTCTAATTATATTATATTAATCTCTATATAATGTAGTATATTATGCTGATTATATTTTTTTCCTTCATAATATAATATAATAATTACAATACTGAATGGAAATACTGTATTATTACGCATCTTTTTACACAAATAGCCGAAAATAAAACATCTTTTTATATATTATTTTATCGATTTCACCAAGTGACAATTTCATGACGTCATGTTTCATTTCAGTCAATTTCTACTCGCACACGTAGATGTGTAACGTCATTGATACAGAGTTGCCATTGGGACAGATGTATGTAATATATCAGTTATGTCAAATTTGCCTTCGTTCTGCCCAAATATAGAGCCTTCCAAGGTCTGCCTATATTGGGAGAACTCAGGTATATTTTATGTTATAGTGACATAACCTCTAAAATGTTCAGTAGATATCTGAATGTCTGTAATAGTGGGTTGTTATTGATGCATACATGAATAACCGAAGCCTGTCTCATGCTATAGCGTTTATTTTCTACTTTCCCTGTCTCTGACAATAATGTTGAATGGGCCAGGTTGATTTGTGATTGCATAGGTGAATTTGATTGGATCAGGATCTGGCGGGTTGTTTTTATCTTCAGGGAAAATCTCCAGTTTTTGTAGTAGACTAGTGACAAACAGGAACATTCTCACCTTGGCCATTGCTTCTCCTAAACATTCTCGCTTACCAACTCCAAATGGAAGAAATCTATTGAAAAAGCACAAAGGGCAACAATAACAAAAAAACTATCAAATCCAATCCAATTGCTCGATACATTTTGTTGTATAGCAGATAGAATAAAGGACCTCATATGGAATTTTGGGAAAAAAGGTAAAACTGTACTGTACACACATTGTAACATGTCACAATATAAAACAAACCTCTCTAAAGAAATTTAATATTTATCAATAAATGGTAGAATATATACTCTGTTTTATATATGCGTGTACATGTAACATGACTTAATACGATTGAAAATTCTATAAACAAATTTTGTTGTCGTAATAAAATGTAGAAGCCCATTCAAAATCATCAGAAAATGGCGGAAGTTATACTGCGCAAACAATACTGTAAAATGTACATGCATGACTTACGATTTTCTTTCATTTCCCGGAAGCAAATTACCATCATCATCTAAGAATCTTTCCACTTTGAACTCATATGGCTCATCAAAGTACTTCTCATCATGATGTAATGCCCAGATGTTCATCCAAACCTTGTTAAAAAGTAGAATACATGTAAATGTAACATGGGTCATTTGGCCTATGGTTCATATAAGTGAATCTAAAACAAATCCTGGTATATTTGTTCTGTTCGTACTATGTACACAAATAGAGATGAAAATATCTGTCCATCATTAATTAGCTGAGAAAAGCTACTCATTGCCTCAAAAGTTGGGGAACGAGCAAGAACATTGCCAACATGACAGCTAGTGACAGTTAGTGACAGCTAGTGACAGCTCATCTTCTCAGAAGAACCCTGGTTGATAGAATCTCAAGTACATTCATGTGGCATAGTATTGCTAGAATCAATTTTCAGTAGGAAGAATAGGGGTTCTCAGACATGTTAAACGGGACATTGAAGCTTAACTCACCCTATGCAGACAGAGCCTGTGGGAAATATTGGGTGCGGCGCAAATGAGCGGAGGGTGCGGAGCTAACGGTCATTTTTGAATTTAAAATTGGGATATTTCTGAAACTAAGCCGTTTTGGGACTTCAAATATACCAAGATATGTGTATTTGACACCAAATATCAATAAAATTGTGAAAATAGTAGTTCAATTCATTTTATAGCGACGCAGTATGCCTTAAACATTTCCCAGACCTATATATTTTGAGACTATCCTTTTAATACTGCGTCCCCAGCATTCATAAAAAATGGTGTTCAAGATACACTACCCATGCAAATTATTTTTGCATCTTTGAAGCCAGGCAGTATCTGTGTGATTTTATAAAAATTCGGAAATGTTCTTCAGATATGAGCCCCCTCTAAATATTGGGTGCGGAGCTACGTTTATGGAGCCCTCCGCACCCAATATTTAGAGGGGGCTCATATCTGAAAAACATTTCCGAATTTTTATAAAATCACACAGATACTGCCTGGCTTCCAAGATGCAAAAATAATTTGTATAGATAGTGTACCTTGAACACCATTTTTTATGAATGCTGAGGACTCAGTATTAAAAGGATAATTTCAAAATATATAGGTCTGGGAAAGGTTTAAGGCACACTGCGTCGCTATAGAATGAATTGCGCTACTATTTTCACAATTGTATTGATATTTGGTGTCAAATACACATATCTTGGTATATTTGAAGTCCCAAAACGGCTTAGTTTCAGAAATATCCCAAATTTAAATTCAAAAATGACCGTTAGCTCCGCACCCTCCGCTCATTTGCTCCGCACCCAATATTTCCTACAGGCTCTGTCTGCATAGGGTGTAACTGAGGCCTTTTTGAAACTTTTGGTTAGTTAAAAAATCAAAATATATTGTGTATAAGTGATTGAGCCTATTATGATTTATTCATGAATTGTATATATTTGATTCAATAAATAGAAGAAAAACATGAATCAAAATGAAGCCCCTTTATTTTAATTAATGTAATTTGATTTACTCTTACCTGTGTACCATTTGGAACTTTGTAGCCCCCCACACTGGTGTCACAAAGGGTTTTATGTGGAACAGACAATGTAGAAGTTGTAGAGTAGCGCAGAATTTCTAAAATGGCAGCTTCTGTATAAGGCATGTTATGCCTATCTGCGAAAGTTGGTAGGCGACCATCACCAATGACATCATCAATTTCATCTTGTATTTTTTTCTGAACATCAGAATGGTTGATGAGAATCATCAGCAATGATTTCAAAGTTGATGATGTGGTCACAATACCTAATGTTTGAAAATACAAATGTAATTCAGTGTTCTATTGCATATTCGGGGCTTGGCCCGTGTTTAATCGAACATTGAATGTTCATTAGTCTTATACATTAAGCTAAGAATGTTTGAGCAAAAGTATTTAAATCATCAGATGTTAATATACAGATGTTTCATTTTGTCTACCATAATGCCAGAAGGGCAAGTAAAATATGACCCTGTTTAAGTGCTGCACTAATTCACCAAGAATAGAATACAATGTAATTGAAATTGATAAAATACCAGCAACAAGAAGATTGAACAGAGTTCCGTGTATTTCATCCCGGCTGATTTCTCCTTGTTTGTAATGCTGATGTAAAACTTCACATACACTTCTAGTCTCATCACTGTGCAAGCTTAGCTGTAAAATAAAATGAACATGTCTTATTTGTTATGCTAGTGCAAAACTTCAAATACACTTCTAGTCTCATCACTGTGCAAGCTTAGCTGTAAAATAAAATGAACATGTCTTATATGTAATGCTTGTGCAAAACTTCACATACACTTCTAGTCTCATCACTGTGCAAGCTTAGCTGTAAAATAAAATGAACATGTCTTATTTGTTATGCTAGTGCAAAACTTCAACTACACTTCTAGTCTCATCACAGTGCAAGCTTAGCTGTAAAATAAAATGAACATGTCTTATATGAAATGCTTGTGCAAAACTTCACATACACTTCTAGTCTCATCACTGTGCAAGCTTAGCTGTAAAATAAAATGAACATGTCTTATTTGTTATGCTAGTGCAAAACTTCAAATACACTTCTAGTCTCATCACTGTGCAAGCTTAGCTGTAAAATAAAATGAACATGTCTTATATGTAATGCTTGTGCAAAACTTCACATACACTTCTAGTCTCATCACTGTGCAAGCTTAGCTGTAAAATAAAATGAACATGTCTTATTTGTTATGCTAGTGCAAAACTTCAAATACACTTCTAGTCTCATCACTGTGCAAGCTTAGCTGTTAAATAAAATGAACATGTCTTATGTGAAATGCTAATACAACATTTGACATACGCTTCTAGTCTCATCACTGTACAAGCCTAACAGTTGTTAGTTCAATACTTCACATATACTTATTTTGTAAGTGACATAATAAAATGAAATCAATGTGTCCATTATTGGATATCAATAAATAGCTCATCAATTCATACCTTTTTCTCCGCTCTTTTCATCCAGGCTGAAAATAGTTTCTCACGTATTGACTTGTGTTCTTTTAGAATTTCAAAGGATTCATTTCCAAAGTATCTTAGCCATGGAAACATGTCTAATTCAGCCCCTGGTCCTGCATAGCCACACCTCTCCATGCTTTTTACGAGGTCACACACCAGTTGGAACTCATGAGAACTTTTATCAATTTGTTCTCCCACAAGCTAAAATTAAATGGTAATTCATTTGATATGTATAACGTGCACACTGGTATTTTGTGATCTCTCTTGGCTTCATAAATTGATTTTGAAACAAACTATACACTTAGAATGTTCAAGACAATCATGACAAGTGTTATATATTACAAACTGTTATATATCAAACTGTCCCTTTAATAGTGTTTCGTTTGTTTTATTCTTAGTATTACTTTAAGATAAATTTACCGTGATATATGTCAGTTATTCCTTTAAATGCTTTCGTTTTTCGTTTAAACTGCTAAATAAGTTAGTCAATAAGGACAATGTTTTACTCACTAGACCTGTCATAATATTTGTAATGCATTGATCCACAGACTCCCTTGGGTCAAATGGAGTGTTACCGTGACTTTGAAATCTTGAAATACAGTCCTGGATTTCATCAGATGCTAAAATTGCTATTCTGTCCATGCCATCTCCAAACTGTTTGAGTCCTCGATGAGCTATCTTTTTTACTCTCTTCAAATCTTGTGATAAATCTCGGAATACAATGTCTTTGTCACCCCCAGGGGTTACGTAGTTCATCCTCCATGAGAAAGGACGTCCAGCAAAATCCTCAGATTTTTCCAACAGCGCTTCTCTTATGACATCATTCTCACTCAACACAACAATCTCTTCATTAAACATTTGGATTTTGTAAACATTTCCATGTTGTTTGCTCCATTTGTGTAACTGAACGTACGGAGTTTGTGAAATCATTTGAAAAGCATTACCAATGACTGGTAACCCTTTTGGTCCTGGAATATCCAACCTTTTCCAAACCTTTTTCTGTATAATCCACAATAAAATGAGAGAAAGAATGAATAGCACTGCTGGCAACATTTTGAATGGTTTTGACGTCCAACTCACACTTTATCAATCTTTATAAACATAAACTACCATTTACATATTAAAGGGGCAGTACGCATATACGAGGGCCATCCATAATCTTCAAATTTTTGCTCTTATCCAAAGAGAGTTTATCTATTATAATTGCGATAACTGTTTAACTGTTTCTCACACCATCTAAAGATCAACTGACATTTTTTTAACATAGCTTCGGTAATTTGTGTATTTTAGCAACAAATTCCAAATTGTTACTTATAATAGTATAAAAACATGTGTGGGCTCGAAGCACCTACACGAATGAGTGCAAGTGCGTTTTAAATTTCAACAGGTAGTAAACAATAACTCCAAAATTACTCAAAACCTTTCAAAATGAATAACAAGGTATGAAGATCATTCAGGTGAAATATGGTGCAAGAAGAACAAAATTTGACGATTTGAAAGAAGTGGTATTGATATGGCGAACTGAATTGAACACATGTTTCCTTTAAACCAGTCATCATTCGAATTCTGAAAATTTTACACATTGTCAATTTAATGATCATCTTTTGATTTGTAGCAATTTAATTTTAAAATCATATATATATTTTTCTCTATATTGTTTTAGAAAATACATCAGACACTTCAACCAGAGGTGGCGTTAACGCAATTTTTTACGTTTTTTACTCACATTTTTGCAACTCTGACGCAAATATTCATTGTCTACCGAGTCTTTCTGACGCACGTTTGTTTCACATGCAAAATCCCCGCTTGGTACTTGGTTAAATTGATCCCTATACTGAAAATACGTGATTGATCAAATTTATAATTTTGCTAATTCCGGAAATCTAACATTTCGTTCAGCGCAATCGAGCCTCCTTCCTACCGATCATTTTCTCATTTCGGTATTTCATATAATTTTTAAAGCCCCGTGATTCAGATTCAATGATAAACTTGAAAACATTGATCGATCCCTCTAGGGAGCGTATCAAAAATGCAATAAAACGAACATAACATTGAACAATAATTCATTAATTTCATACTCCCTTCTAAGGATTTTAGTGATCGTATATTTATCTAAATTACCGCATAAAATCTTCCCTTGAATGTTCACACGCTAGATTTACGAATCTTTAGTTTCCTTCGCAAGTTCGCAAAATTCCTTCGCTAAGTTAGCAAGTTTCCTTGAGCCATCCCCTTCATCAGCATGCGCAGATGTAATGCGCAGTAGGTTTATCAATGGTGCTCACAGTGACCGATCTATCGTAAGTTTTCACCAAGTATTTTCAATTAACTCCCTCAAGTTAAGATCTTCGATTCACTAGATCTGAAGCTGATCCTATGAAGATAGATAATGGGCACATGAAAATCCAGTCGATCGCACATTAAGGGGGGTAATGATGATAAATTAGGTATGAAAACAAATCTACTTTCGGTTTCATTTGATCAGCTATAATTACAAGATTCTACCGTATTCAATTTAAATGATGCCCAGTATTGTGGTCGGACTTATATTGCCGTTTTAGACTTTGTAATGATTGCAAAAATGTTGAATTTCAACATGAAACCCTTTGACCCCAATTTGTGTAACTCCACACAGGGAGAAACTCCTCTCCCACTCCATTCACACCCATGACTCGCTGGACCAGATAATCAGATGATTAATACTAGTGACATTTTTCTTGCAATTGCCTAATTAATTAATTGTTAGTTGTTAATGTGCTATAAGAGTACAATAAAAGGTATCCACAAAATCAAAAAATAGATTTTGTATGTGGTTTCTACATTTTGTATGCATTTTTACTCAAGAAAAACACTTTTATAGCTTTGACTCAACTTTTTTTCTTGTGACTCACTTTTTTGAAACTACCTGAGTCATGATGACTCACAAAAATATATGCCTACCGCCACCGCTGTCAACATTTTCTTAGACCTCTCAATATTATAGTTATATTTTAATGGAAAGTTTGGTTCATTTAAAAGAAGTATCTTGTTTATGAAATAAAAGGTTTACTTTAATTTTTATCTATTTTGGGGGTTTTCGTTTTCATTTCTTGAATACTTTTTGTTTAATGAACGAAACATTCCTTAGTATAACTATGATATTGAAAGGTCTAAGAAAGTGTTGTAAATGCTATTTTGTTCCAACAAGGTTCGGAAAGATCTTTTATTTCATTTTCAAGAATTGGGAGAAAGGAACTAAAAACAATTGCACTAAACATTTGTTCACAAAAGCAATAATATAAAATATATATGAATAATTTTCACATTAATTGTTGTCAATCAGTGACCATTACATAAAGGGCAGTGTTTTTTTACAGAATGTTTTCAGTAATTAGTTTGAGAGAAAATCAGTGTTGAATTCTGTTTGCCATATCGATACCAATCCTTTAACCCTTTGAGTGCCATTGGGCCGATTCGGCCGATGGGGAAATGTATGTCGCTAAAGTGCCAAGATCGGCCCAAAATCGGCCCAAAATAACGCGTTTATATACACAGGGAAATATGTCATCAACTGAGAATGAATAATCTATACTTATTTATTTATGTTTGTTTAGGTCGGTCTTAATAAATCGACCCGGTCTCAGTTTTATTTAAGTTGATTTAACAGACGCTGGGTATCTTACAACATCGTATAGTAAACGCGTTTCAACAAAGTTGGCAAGGTTTAATGGAATATCGGCCCGAATATAGTAGATTCAATTATGTCCCTATGAATGGTGAATAATAGGTTACTGGTCAAGTAATTAAAGAAATTGTGTTGCAAACTAACTGAGGTAACTTTTTATTATGCTATGAACGCACGTGATTTTCGTATTTTTGCAACGCTGATGTTTGTTAGATTGTATCTGTTAACGTAATTTAGTGTGCAAATGAAGTAAATACTTGAAATTCGTGTATTGGAAATAAGATATGCATGAATATGAATGAAACGTAATGTTTGTTTTTTTTTCATTATAAATAATTCAAACTGATATATGCCTCATATACAGTATACAATGTAGTTATACTTAACGAACGCTGGGCATCTTACAATATCGAAAAATTAATGCTTATTAACAAGCTGGCATTCAAGGATTTCGTTAATATTGGCCCAAAATGTTGTCCCTATAAACGTTGCCTTATAAGTAACTCGTCGCAAATATACCAACGTCACTTATTTGTAAATGAGTGTATTCTTTATTATACTTTGAACGCATATGATTTTCAGTATTTTAGAACGCTTACTGTTGTCTTGAAATTGTTGCGTACTATTAACATTTTTGAAACGTGAAATTAACTGTAAGAATGTAAAACATGTATTTATCTGCATTTATCAATATAATCCATGTGAATATACAGAAATGACATTACACATTATGTATAAACTGAAAATTAAAATGAAATACTTTTGGATGTGGAAATGTGAACTGATCATTGAATAAGAGCGTCCGTTTTCGTGTTAGTACGATGGACGCTGCGGTAGCTAAGTAGGCCTACATTATGCCTTATTAAACAAATCAAACATGAAATGAGTTAACCATTTCCTTAGTTTATCTGATTTTTAACGTCCATGAACATTAAAAAAAGGCGATGTATATTTCTTTGGGTAAATAATTTGTTCCTTCGTGAGTATAGCAAGCTATATACGTATACGTTTAGGGGATCTGGATTTACAGACACTATTGTCACAGAATATGCAAACGCTGAGATGATTAAATGCAGTAGTTATAAACAGTGTGATCATAAATATAAAGAATCCACTATTTAGTTTTGTGTTTATTTAATACAATTAACCTGTTTTACCCTACCAGTGAAGACGATGGACTCAATTGCAGTATCATATTGCAGTAAGTACAATTTTAAAGAATTTTACATAAATAAGGGGTTTAAATTTAATGATACGAAATATTTTGTCCTAGATATCGTTTATTTCTACTCCAGGGCACAAGGGCCGATTACAGCCTATTTTCCCTGAAATTGTGAATTGCAACAATATACAGTACCTCCCTTGTACATAATTTCGGCAATGATAAATATAGAGATGGCATCAATGTTTTTTATTCATATTAGAAGAACATATATAAAATAACAATTTACTCGCGTGCATTTAAATTCTACCGTGTGCAATAGAAGATCTAGAGTTTCTAGATAGCTTTGAAATCTCGCTAACTCTCGTTTTTTCATGTCGAGATTTTAAGAGATTTTAAGAGATTTGCACTTTTTATCTCTCTATTTTTGATAGCATATTTGAATTAAATGACAAGTTTTCTCCAATAATAGCTTTGATTTACACAGTTGTGTCATTTAAATCATTTTCCATGACATTTGAAAAAACTTGGGCCAAATCCCCATTGGAGCAATGCTAAAATTCATTCAAACCTTGGCTAATTTGTATGACAACCAACATTTCATGTTTAATCACAATATGTACATTGACAGGGTCATACAATAGTATGTCATTCGAGTTTCAGACAGATTCAACCAACACTTTTTGATAAATCGTGAAATTAAGTGACTATTGCACGTTTCTAGCATTGAAGTGAATGGAGGTCTGGCCCAAGTAAAGTCAAAAACAAACAAAAGTGATATCTATTATATCAGCGTTATTCAGCTATTTAGAAACTATACAATTACTCCCATGGGTTCTAGTTACTAATTAGTAATTTGGGTAAAAATATTATTTAATATTTTTAGTTTCACTTATTTTGAGCAAAAGACTTTGGGGTTTAGGTATTCTTCAGACATTCCAGAGGCGAGAATTACATAAGACCATCGAGAAATAAGAATCGAGAGATGTAAGTGCTATTTCTAAAAACTCAGTTTGGAGTCGGAAAAGTGGCTTGAGAATGCAGGAAAACTGACCAATCAGAATGCCAGATTCCTTAGTATTTCTAAAGTGAATCTTCGATTATCGAGAAACTTTTTCACGCTCAAATTTCACCTACCTATCGCACGTGGATCGCTTCAAAAGTGATACCATCGGGAAACTGGCAATG